CACATCTTCCCACATCTTGACATAGACATGTGGGGGCGTGTTAGAACGAGCCAATTTTAGGTAGGCGTGGTTGACTATTAACTTTTATAAAGAATATCTCTTTGGATTTGAGACTTTAGTCTTTGCAACTTTACAGATCTTCTTTATGCACCAAGAGCTTGTAACACTCCAAAGAGAAAAGAAAAATGTAAATCGCATCATATGACCTCTTTAAGCATTTTGGTGTTTTTAATGTTTTTGAAAGAAGTCTCTTATACTTATCAAAGCTGCATTTATTTACTCAGAAGTGAAATGTAATATTGTGAAATATTATTACAATTTAAAATAACAATTTTTGATTTTAATATAGTTATAGTTATAATTTATTCCTGTGATGGCAAATCTGAATTTTCAGCAGCCATTACTCCAGTCTTCAGTGTCAAATTATCCTTTAGAAATCTCTCTAATAAGCCTAATTGATGCAACATTTCATATTATTTTTAATGTTAAAAACAGTTGTGATGCTTAATATTTTTTGGAAACGATCATACCCTTTTTCAAGATTCTTTAAAGGGGTCATATGATGCGATTTAAATTTTTCCTTTTTCTTTGGAGTGTTACAAGCTCTTGGTGCATAAAGAAGATCTGTAAAGTTGCAAACACTAAAGTCTCAAAACCAAAGAGATATTCTTTATAAAAGTTAAGAGTTAACCACACCCTCCTAAAACGGCTCGTTAAATTCAAAATAACAGCATTTTTTCAAATGGAATTAGTTTGTAATACTCAATGGTTACAGTAATGCATGCTCATGTCCAAAGCTAATGAGTTGTCTCTTTTTATGATTATTAATTTCGTTTTATGTATTTTAAGGCTCCAGATGTAAAAGCATGCCTTTATCTTACCGACACATCTGTCACCAAAGCTGGCTTGACAGTTAATTATGGTAATTTTAAGACCTTGTGTTTTCTTTTTGTTATCAAAAAAGTAATAAAACAATTATTGCCATTGTAATTATTGAGGAGCAATCAAGCAGACATGATCGCCATTAGCTTCTAATGGAGCTCGACTAATGTGGTTAAAGCTGAATACAGGGTCTGAATAACTGAAAAATGATCTGTCAAAGCTCAAGAGTCTGATTGTATACAGTTTCATGTCTTCCTTTAGTCTGCCATGTTACCCACAAATCTCAGCCCCAGTTCCTCCTTCTGCCAACACTCCACGGTTGTAACCTTGTGACAGTAGAGAACAGCTGCTTTCAATTAACACAGGAGGACAAGAAAAAGGGCCTACAAGACTGAAACCAATCCAGATTGAACTCCAAACATCTTGAAAGTGTGTCTGAATCAAGCTCTTGATGTAAAGAAGAACTGAAAAGAAACGGTTTCCAGAGCTTTCTCCAGACACTGTCAGGCTAGCAATTGATCAAAAATACAGTAAAAATGGTACACCCAACAAAAAAAAAAAAGCAAAAACAATAACACTATAAAACATCATTTTAAATGACTCTTGTTCTATTATAAAATATAAAATTAAAATGTAATTTATTTCTGTGAAATCAAAGCTGAATTTTCAGCAGCTATTCAGTCTTCAGTGTCATATTGGTCTTTCAGAAATCTTTCTAATATGCTGATTTGTTGCTCAGGAAGCATTTCACTATATACATTATATTCAGTGAAGTGTCAAGTGTATGACCTGAAGCATATTGTCCATTCATGGTTTGAACTGAGCATTACACACTGATATCAACAATATTTGATAAAGAAGCTGATTAAGAGCAGATAGCAACCATAAAAACCTTTGCACTGACTGCTGATTTCTGTAACGGCTTAAAACAGTCAGCCATGCTTTTACTTGAATTACTACAATCTTGCTTTTCCTCTTTGCTGAAACAAACACAGCACCCGAGGCCAGTGAAAAGCCTGAGCTGACAATAGATCTGCATCATCAGCAAACTGACAGGTGGTTCTAGTCTTCTGATAAATTGTGAGGTAACGTGGCACTAATGTGCCTTGGGATGGTGTTATGCACAAGCGTGCCATTTAGATCGTCAGGTAGAAACTGGTCACACGGTTTAAACCCCAGATCATAGCTGGATCTGCCTCAGAATTGATTTTTGATTTCATTCATAGAAATGAAACTTCCTCAGTACGACTTCCTGTTTAAAAAAAAGAATAAGGAGAGATTTCCTTTGAGGGGTTGCATGCCGAACACAGTGTACTGCCTCCTCACAATCACAGGAACCATGGGACCAGCTGAGCCCTGCGCCCAGCCACCTCGACACCCCCCTTACGTCCGTCCGACCCTCAACCGCTTCAAGTCTGCTTTCTGCATCCTACTGAAGTGATTTATGATTCGTAAAATAAATTCAGGAAGAGATGAGAATTCCAGCTGAATCTCTTTTATCCACATGTAAAACGTTTGTGTTTACAAGGCAATAGTCAACAAATAGCTTTGATGTTTTCATTTTATTTAGCAAATGACTCTGTGTTTACAAAATTGTTAATGAGAAACAAGTAAAATAAAAAAATTTATTTCAACCTGCAGTCAAAAATTTGTGTTACACTATGATTCAAATTTTGGTTTTTTTTAAAGCAGGCTTCATTTATTTAATTAAAGGGGTCATATGACGATGCTAAAAATAACATTATTTGGTGTAATGCAATGTGCTTTTAATGGTTTAAGGTTAAAAAAAACACATTATTTTCCACATACCGTACATTGTTGTTACTCCTCTCTGCCCCGCCTTTCTGAAACGCTTCGATTTTTACAAAGCTCATCATTCTGAAAAGTGCGGTGTGATCTGATTGGCCAGCTATCCAGTGCGTTGTGATTGGCCGAATACCTCAAGAGTGAGACGGAAATGTTACACCCCTTAACATATTTGGAAACAGACAGCATCTCCACGACATGGCAGCAGTGGCAACAATACTAGCGAGAATAAAAGTACTGCCTTCGTTCTTTGCGTAAACATTTGGGCGGTGTTATGTAAATCTTCCAACACAGTGACATAGATTTGTGGGGGTGTGTTCAAACGAGGCATTTTAAGAAGGCGTGGATGAGTCTTAAAGGGGTCCTATTATGCTCTTTTACAAAGTCTTGATTTTGTTTTGGGGGTGTACTAGAAAAAATCTCAATTAGGGATTAATTTTAAATTGACAGGTGAGGAGGTTTAAATGAAATAAAGTGCACCTACAATTACAATTATGTGGCTGATTAAACAAAGAAAACAACAGAGGGTGTGTTCGTCTGCTTTGCGACATACTGTAGTGATAACACTCGTTGCCTTCTCTAGTGCAGCTCAACCAGGTCTCGTCCCATTCGTCGATATTTGTGATATCACAAATACCGGATAATATGCGTTGTAGTCCAAACGAGTCGTTCGTTGTAGTTTTTGAAAAGTGATTTCTGTTAAATAAAATATCTCTTTTTGAAGTGGACTTTGAGCTTTGTAACTTTGCAGATCTTTTTTATGCTCAAACAGCAACATTACAGACTAAATACAGTTGAAAAAGTGGAAAAGCATAATAGGACCCTTTTAACTTTTATAAAGAATATCTCTTTGGGTTTGAGACTTTAGTCTTTGCAACTTTACAGATTTTATGCACGAACAGATTGTAACACTCCAAAGACAAAGGAAAACTTGAAATTGCATCAAATGACCCCTTAAAAATACAGTAAAAAAGACATTATGAAAAATATTATTACTATTTAAAATGACTGTTTTCTATTTTAATACATTTTAAAATGTTCTTCATCCCAGTGATGGCTAAGCTGAATTTTCAACAGCCTCCAGTCTTCAATGTTGCATAATCATTTAGAAAATAATTTTAATATGCTCATTTAGTGCTGCTCAAGAAACATTTCTTATTATTATCAATGTTAAAACTGCTTAATATATTTGTGGATACAGTGATACATTTTTCTAGATCCCTTTTTTCAAGAAAGTTAAAAAACGGCATGCATTACAAAATAAACATATTTTGTAGCAAAAGTGATTTACTCATTCGCTGTGCCTGACGCTTGATATTTTAAATAATATTACTTTAAAACCAAATGATGCTTTGGAAGTTCATTACTATGTAGATCTTCATTTAGAGGTATAATTTGACACCTCACATATTGTGAAAATACACTGTTTGGGCTGTCTAGTGGTGCTGGACGTACCGCCCTCTTTATAGCAGACAGTAATTTTCTGAGGCCTAGCAAGATTGAGGGGGTTGTAAAGTTCCTGGTATTCCAAACTTTGCAACAAAATTATAAATCACCTCGGTTATCTTCTTTTAAACTGAACAGGGATGACCTTGCCCCAGTTGGGCTCAGTGTGAACACTAGTAAACTGTTAGCTACTGGCATTTCTCATTGTCATCATGCTAGCTAAATGTCTCTGGTGGCTGATCAAATTGCACACGTTTAAAGGGAATGAGGCTTCAGACATGGATGCTAAAGGTCAGGTTAACCACTAGTTAAATGAGCATAGCTGATAGGCAGGTGCATTCCTCCTTGTAAACGTGCTATGATTGGTTAGAAAACTAAAGTGAAAGGCATGTCATCTCTGATACCATCTATTCAAGCAAGAAAGTAATTCTCTGCTAGAAATGTTACAGTTCATTTAGTCATGTGGTCTGTGCAATAAAGTTAGTATAATTGATACAAACTTAATTTAAAGTCTGTATTAGGCCTACTCAAAAGGCTTAAAGTGAACAAAATATGGTTTGACGTGAGGAAGAAAAAAAAAAACAGCATTTACAGCTTTAACACCTCCCTGAGAGACCTGTGCCCAGTATGTTGAGAATTTACAGGCCCATTTAGCCTCAAGCAGCTTGTGCAGAATGAAGAATGCAGTTTGAGGCTTTATCAACAGTCAGAGGAGACAGAAGTGATGACCATGCACATGCCATTTCAATGTAGGATACAAAGTATGAGCTCAAAGGACACGTTGGCTGACAAACAAACATTAGAAAATACAATAAGCACACATAACATCCAAGAACTGTATTTTCAAAAAGAGCCAGGATGTTCTTAATGTACCTATGAAGAAGGAATATGTGTGATAGTGATGGAAGGCAGACTTATCATAATTCGGTTCTTAGAACCAGTTCAAAAAATGATTCAGCGGATATATTACGTTCTGATCCCTGACATGCCGAACATGATGTATTACAGTACATATACTGAAATGTTCCAATAAAACAACATGTTGTCATACATTTCTGTTTATTACATTTTTTAGTTTTACTAATACACGTGTTTTCTTGTAATTTTACGTTCTGTTTGTTTCAGTCAGGACTCAGCTGAGTCTGTTAGAACATAAATATAATTTTCATTGAATGAGTTTGAGAACTGAGAAGAACTCAGACTGATTCGTGAGTGAATCGTTCAGTCGATTCGTGAACAAATAGTTCAAACGAATTATTGTTTGAACAGATCTGACCAACTCATTTTAAAGACCCGACTCCAAAAAAATTATTCGTTCACGAATTAGACGCCTAGTCTTCAGGTGCCGATTGCATTAACTGCTTAGACTAGTCTTAAAAGTTAGTGGTCTATCTTTTTTTTCTCCAAGACTGGTCCAAGTGCTAGTTGGTCAAACTAGTCATTAGTCTTAACAAAAGTGGCTATGTTTATGCGACTGGCCTCAAGTAGTTTATAAGAAACTTTATTTTACAGGCACAGCAAAATAAGGCCACAACGAATCCTACTAACAGTCATTCTATTCATTAACGAATTGTTCATACTAGTTTTTGAACAGATCCGACCGATTCATTGCAAAGATTCGATTCAATAGAAAGATTCATTCACCAATCAGACATCTCTAATCTTCAGTAATTTATCAGATAGCTTATCTTAAACCATTTCCCATTAAGATTTAGTATTACATAGTAACGGTGTAACAGTCAACAGTCAAATCAAAAGTAGCAAAAAGTTGAGTTTGTAGTCAGACAATTACGTAATCTAAATATATAATGTAAAGCAACGAAGAAAGTTTACTCTTTAGCTAACATGCTGTTATTCTAAGCGGTAAATCGAAAATATTTGTTTTAGGCAGCAACCGCCTTGACAACATAACAACAACATACCAAACCATGACAGAGCTGCCCGTGCCCATCCATGAGAGCAAAACCGAATAAAAATTTTAAATCCATACTCGCCTGCCAACTGTTTGATTGGCGAGCTGTCTCATCCGATTGAACTGTTTCTTCATTTTAGTGGCGTCGGCCTCAAAACCCAGTTTTTAAGACGAGGAGAGTGTGTTCGTCGATGCCTCATGAGCCGAAAGATCTTTGAGCACGATGGTGAAGTCGTGTGGATAATTACATTAAAACAGCCCGGTGTACGGTTAGCCCGAGCAGCTAGAAAATTAGCCGATCGGGAGAGAAAAAAACAGTAGTGTGGAAAAAGTTAGCTCCGGAGAATAGCGGTGCTCGTTTCATGTCATTCCGTGTTGCAACTGCTCTCATAAAGCGGGAGTCTAGCGGTGTTTCCACGTATGCCAGCCCGTGACATCTACGTGAGAGAGTGGAAGAGCATGGCAGCGGGCTGATCACTGCAACCGTGTCGGTAATGAGTGTGTGTTTCACAGCTCGGATCAGCGCAGCTCCGGGATGATCGTGATGACATTAATGTGGACACAGGGGCTGTCTCGAAACCTAGCGCGCTGACTTTACAGACAGCATTATTGAGCGTCTGTGATTTCCAAAAATGCCTTCTGTGTAGGCTGCTCCAAAGGTTTTGAAACGCAGCCTACTTAGACTACGTAGAGTTCAGTGTCCACTCATATACCGACTGACAAGGCGCGTTTCCATTACAGATTTGCGCAAAACTTTGGCGATATTTTATAAATGTCGATAAAAAAGTATTGCGAAATGACGGCGTTTCCATTAACTAATGTTATGCGACTAAAACGTAACCTTTTGCCTCTCGCGATAGACCACACACTCCCTGTATGCACTGTAGGAATTTTCATCTGAAGGATTCTCTTAGTGTTTGGCCAAAACTGTCCTTTTTTCTGTTTACAGCGTAAATAACTAATTTTTAGTTTATATAATATGATCTTTTTATAAGATATTTTTTACCATGTTCCTTTATATTCCATTCACCTCATGTTGTTCTGCGTCACACTATTGATTTTATTGTCTAATAATACTTTAAGAACAGTATGTTTCGGAAATGTTGTAAAAGCTGAAAATAGTACTAATAAAATGAAATAAAATAAGTTTTGTCTCTGTCTTTCTATTTATAACTTTCACTCGTTGACAGCTGCGGCTACTCCAATCCAAATCTACAATAACGCGGTTAATACTTGATCTAGTTTTATGTGTGGCATGCGTCTAAATGGCAGATTTAAGTGATACATGTTTTTATAGTCCTTAAATCCTTAATCTCTAATATCTATAATCCATCTGTAGCTAACGGGACATTTTCCCGTTATCATTTACGTGAGTGATGCAGGGGTTTAACATTGTTGTGAACAATAATATAAAACGACGGAGTATTTATAAAACAAAATCGATTACGATTTGCAGAATCATAAGCGTAAACATCTACACATCAACCAATGTGAATGTTACACATAAATGTGAATTAAAAGCTGCACTGTCATGCGCAGTAAGGTCTCCTCGCTGCCACGCCCACGAGATGTATTATGGGAAAGTTTCGTCAGCGGAAGTAGTAAGATGTAAAGATGTGATTGTCAATCGGAGCGTTTGGTCCAGTTTAGCGGCTGTGAAAATCAGTATGCTTGATTCAAATGAATGTGCTTGAAAAAATATTTAAAGAATCTGTTGGCAATGAAGTATTGAATCTTATACTGCGGCGTTTTTCGAAACTCGATCAGTTTGGCTAACATTTAGCATTTGTGTTCATACAAATACAGCATGTATATGTAACGCAGTGTGTGTTTATCAGCATTGCTTCAAATCTATAAGTGTCCATGGCATCCAAACAGCCATTTACAGATTCTGACACTGCTGATGAAGCAGTCAGAGCAACTTGCGACGATGCATCGACATGCAAAAGGTAGCACGGCGTAGTGATCAAAAATAAAATTATTAAACATGGTTTTCTGTGTTTCTAAATACCGTGCTTCTCTCTTGACATTCAACTGCAGTGTTATTGAGCATCCTGCGTATCATCAAAATGAGGGGAATATATTTCAGTCGTGGTTATGCACAGTGTTACTGACATGAATAGCTCTATAATTCTTAAATTATTTCATCATTTACAGGTTATAAAATATTTTTATGTTCAAGAGCAACGCTGTAGTACTATTTGTAATCGACTTACAATAATAATTTAATATTTCACATAACGTTTTGTTTTGTTTTATAGGTTTGCTACCAGTAAAGGTTACTGGACTGACCTCTACGTCCAGTATTTTGTTAGACAAATAGGTGAACGTAAAGCACCTGAGATCAACAGAGGTAAGAGAGATTGTTTAAATATCTCCCCCTGCTGGTTAATGTTTGCAGCTGCGTTTAATCAAATACGCTGTTGTTTTATTCATTGTGCTGTAGGTTATTATGGTCGTGTCAGAGGGATGAATCTTCTTATTGATGCTTTTCTCAAGAAGACGCAATGTGATTGCCAGGTGGTGAATCTTGGGGCAGGACTGGATACTACTTTCTGGAGATTAAAGGTTGTTGTTGTTTTTTTGTTTAAAAAAAAAATTTAATTTCGCATTTAGCTATTTCGAGATTCAAAAAGAAGACAATAATAATAAATATATTAGATATATATCTTTTTAATAAGGAATAAGATGTATTATTATACAGACTCCCATAAAATATTTTTGATAAACAATCGAAGTATCTTATGTAGTATGTAAGTGCATGTATTATCTACATTTTTAGGATGAAAACATTATGCCAAAAAAGTTCTTCGAAGTCGACTTCCCAATGATTGTTGCCAGAAAAATACACCACATCAAGTAAGGCGTTTTTACTGTTATAATATGATTATTGTTATTATTGTCAGTAAATTGCTTTTTGACTATAAAATGAATGATTTTGGATACTTAGCATGTTCTTTTAGTCATATTCCTGTAGGGGGAGACAGTGTCTCTAATGAGCAGTTTCTAGGACCCTCTGTCTCAGTATGTTCACCCTCCAAAGCATGGTTGGATTGTATATCTGTCATCTATTTTGTAGTGTATTAAATTTGATCAGTCCTTTGGTGCATTTGATCATTTTAAAGTACCCCGCCTGAAGTAATACTGTTCAATACCTGTTATGCATATGAATTATACTTGTATGGAGAATGTTTTGTCATGGGTGGTTGGGCGTTAATTTTTTAATTGCTACATAACAACAGTCAGTGGAAATTGCTGTAGGTGTGGCTGTGCAACATACACAAGACTGCATTTACATTGCATTTGCATTGCATTGAGCAAACGCTTTTTATTCAAAGTGACTTACAATAGAGGAACATAAGCAATTTGTCAGAGAGCCAACAATATTTATAGTCTACAATGCCAGGTTTATTAGAAAGCTAGACTAGGAAACAAGCTAGAGCGGACGTGAAATGCAAATGAAAGGAAGATTTTTGTATGTGTTTAAGTGCTTCGGTTTAAGAGTGTGTATGTAAGTACGGTGGCCGAGAAGTGCAGAGCAAATCACAATTCTGAAAACAAAATAACAAATTACAAACGCAAATGCAAGTCTAAAAAACAAAATAACAATTCAGAAAGCACAACAACAATTCAGAAAACATTATAACAAGTCAGAAAACACAACGACAAATCAGACAAACCGGAAGAGGTAGGTATAGTTTGAGACAGCGCCATTGGTTTGGGATTACTCATCGCTGACTGGACGAGACATCTGTCAATCAACGTATACAGGGAAGAACCAGCCGAAGAACAGCAGAGTCGTGGTAGAAAGTTTGGAGATGGTATTAAAGTAGCTCAGTTTAAATGTATTGTATGAATTGTCCTTACTCTGGAATAAAAAATATGGGGTGTCTATTTATATTTAGTTAAAAGTGGCTGAAAAGCGTCAGCTCCAGTGGCGCAGATGGATAAGTGCGTGCCCTAGGCTTTTTGACGCGATCGACCCGGGTTCGATCCCACCTTTTGCCGAACTTTTTTTTCCTCCCTTTTCACATCTCGTATTAGCAATTAAAGGCATTTATTTTCAATAAAAATGAAGGAAATAATCAAAAAGTTGAAAATAAAATATCGGGTAGGGTTAGGGTAGGTGTAGGGACGGCTTTTTTTCTGAATTGTTGTTGTGCTTTCTGAATTGTTATTTTGTTTTTTAGACTTGCATTTGCGTTTGTAATTTGTTATTTTGTTTTCAGAATTGTGATTTGCTCTGCACTTCTCGGCCACCGTATGTAAGTGACAGAATAGAAATACACTGTGTCCAGAGGGAGTTACGCAATACAATACTATGCGACCCTCAGTGCATTAGATAACAGAATACCAAAGTGTCATCTGCAAACAAATGATACTAGACCTTTCTCACAAGGTTTTTTTTTTTTTTTTTTTGCAGTTTACTCTGTGTTGTAAAGTCAGTTCCCCTCAAGTGAACACGAAAAGTGTCCACGTTATTTGAGTAATATATTTATTATGTGTGTATTTTTGAGATTGCTATACAATAGTACAGAGGGATGTTATAGAATTCAGGGGTCAAACTCGTTTTTTTTTTTTTCATGTGTACTTCCTACAAGTTGTGTGATGATAAAACATGAATGCTTTTGAAGATAGAAATCTGATAACTGATAATGATCATGAGATAAAAATAATGTTTTCCATAAAACAATTGAGTAAATGATTAACTTTCTATCTATCTATCTATCTATCTATATATCACAGGACGAAACCTCCACTATCAAAACCTTTGATTGAGACCCACTCCACTGATTCACTCCTTCTGGGTATTGAAATCAAATTATAATGTAACAGAGCATTTTACTTTGTTGTTGCCTAGTGATCTTTTTCACTGTAACCTTTCACTTGTTCAACTGTATGTCTCTTTGACAGATGGTCACAGCCTGGACTCGGACAGATATTGTATCATCGGTGCTGATCTAAGAGACCTTCCTGCTTTAGAGGAGAAACTAAAAAAGTTCCAGATAAATCCAGAGTAAGTACTGTAACATCACAACCTTGGCTGAGTTAGATATAAATTCAAAAATTTTTCAGTTTTTCTATTGCACTGCATTTTTGTGATGTTTTATCTACATGGTTATCAAAGTAGATTATATAGTAAGTGCAGTTACAACATCAGGATGAGCCTCTCTTATCTTTATTGTGATGTACAGGTTTGCCTTCTAAAAGGTTCATGTTAAATTTTTTGCCTCAGTTACATGTTCGTTTTAAAATGCTGCGACTACAATTCATGGTTGTGTATCAGAACAATAGGTTTTTGAAATTAAACTTGATTTACTAGAACGTTAACTTCACGATTCTGTGCATCCTAGATAGGGTTGATCCATCCTGTTTGGCATCCCAATAGGAGTTGCACGCATCTGTTGTTTTGTTTTCGTGCATCTCTGCTGATGCCCCTGATGACAATAGTACACTCGGGAGCATTTAGAGTTTCCTCAGATGCGTCAATAAGTGCACGTTTTCTTTGATGTGAACTGATGAGACCCGAAGGAAGCTACCATTCTAGAAGGTGTATGACATCAATGGCATCATTTCCAAGGCCTCTCACCTTGAGTTTTTTTTGGTTTTGTTTTTTTTTGCCCTTTTTTTTTTTTTTTTTTGCAACTTCCTGTTCAGTCCACCCTAACGTGGCGTCTTGACGTTTGCCAGCTTGTCTGCAAATCCCATTAGTGTCTCAGATGCTGAGTAAAAAAATCTGGAAAATCTATTGTCATAGCACGCAAACCACTCTTCCAAAAACGTGATTTCCTGCTATGTACTTTTAGGTATTACCATAATGATTTGTTTTCAGGAACAAACTTCTTGTTTTGCTTTAATGCATGAGCTGAACAAATTGTGATGTTCTCACTAGGAAAAAAAAAACTGATTCCAGAAAAGACCTTTTACTTTTTTTTTACAGATTTGGTAACAAGATTCGATTTAGTTAATGCATTAGGTATACTATTTTTCAGTGTTTATTAATATACAATACAAATTAAGAGTTTTCTGATGTTTTTGAAATAAGTCTCTTATGCTTACCAAGGTTGCATTTATTTGATAAAAAATACAGTAAAAACCATAATATTATGAAATATTATTACAATTTAAAATAATAAAATAGTAATAATTTCATACAATTTAACATGTAATTCATTCCTATGATGACAAAGCTGAATGTTCAGCAGCCATTACTCCAGTCTTAAAGGTCACATGATCCTTCAGAAATCATTCTAATATGCTGATTCTGTGCCCAAGAAACATTTTTATCAAATTGAAAACAGCTGTGCTGCTTAATATTTTCAAGGAAACTGTGATAAATTTTTTGACAATAGTTTGATGAATAGGAAGTTCAAAAGAACAAACTGTAATTCAAATAGAAATCTTTTGTAACATTATAAATGTCTTTAAAAAACGTACTGACCCCACACTTTTGGTGGTGTAGGTAGTGTTAATTTAAAAATATACTATTATTCATTAATTCCTGTTTGTTTATTATGCATGAAATAATGTTAATTTATACATAAATTGCATTAGTATATGCAGAAATTGATATTAACCTAGATTAATAAATGCTATGAAAAGTACTGCTGTTCATTTTTAGTTCATGGTACCTAATGCTTTAGTGCTTTAGTTTTAGTTATGAATATGTTATCGGATTAAAAAAAGAAATTGTTACCCATAATTCATAGTTCAAATTATCTAGAGGAAGCTTAATCATAGGATGGGTGTTGCAAAGAAACACTTCCCCACCATTGATACGAACTGCTTAACATTCCTTTATCCGTGTATTCCCGCTTCTCTCCACCCAGGTTGCCCACTCTGTTTCTGTCCGAGTGTGTGCTGGTGTACATGACCTCTGAGCAGTCCTCCAAACTGGTGAACTGGGTTGCAGACACCTTCCCCACGACCATGTTCATTAACTACGAACAGGTGAGTTCATTACGTTAAACGGCTTCATTACTACAGTCATTTAAAAATTTGTCGCGAGCTCTTCTTGTCTGCACCTCTAACTGTCCAGATCTTTTCAGGTGAACATGAATGATCGCTTCGGGCAGATCATGATTGAGAACCTGCAGCGACGACAGTGCAATCTGGCTGGGGTGGATGTGTGTCAGTCTCTGGACTCTCAAGTACGACATTTTACACTTAGGACTAGCAACTTTCTTTATAATGTACTTCATTGATATTGTACAGCTGTCATACTGTATGATTGTCGATTGTTTTACTCCTTACAGTAAGACGGTGTCTTTCTATGTACAAACAAAACGTTAGACTGGGTTGTACTTGGAATTCAAAGTTGTTTTCCTGCTCAAAATACAATGGGTGATCAAGACTCAGGAAAACAGAGCAGTTAAGCACAAGGCATTGTTTATGCGACCAACGCCAAGACTTAAGTCTCACAAGCAGTATCAGTGCAAGTCTCTCAAGGTTAACACCAGCATGGTGACCTTCTGTCAACATTGCTTGATATTTGGGTTTAGATTGAAAATGTGGTAGTGTTTAGGATGATAGTATGTTATTTCAGTTTTCATTAATGTATTGTGAGTCATATCTTATTTTCTGTTTTCATTTTAATGTTAAAGATTTAATAATTTTGTACCACCACGATGACCATAGGGTATCCGGGCGGTCAACATGGCTTGGTCTGGTCAATTTGCATTCAGATTGAAAATGTGGTAGTGTTTATGATGATGGTATGTTATTTTAGTTTCATTAATATACTAATTTTAATTTAATTTAATTTTAAAGTTTTTTGTAGACGTCACAGAATATCCGGTCAACATGGCTTGATATTTGTATTCAGATTGAAAATGTGAAGTGTTTATTATGATAGTGTGTCATTTTAGTTTCCTTAATATACTAATGCAGATGTATTCATATTTTGAATTAGTTTAGAACTAATTTAATATTTTCTGTTTTCATTTAAATTTTGAAGTTTTAGTCATTTTTTGCAAATCTGTAGACGCCTCAAAATATCTGGTCAACATGGCTTGAAATTTGTATTCAGATTGAAATGCGTCGTGTGTATGTGTATGAAATGTGTGAAGTGTGAATGTTGTTTTTATTTTCATTAATATACTAATATAGATTTATTAATATTTGGAATTCATTTGAGATTGAAAATGTGGTGCTTATGATGATAGTGTGTTGTTAGATCTTATTTTAATGTTTTCTGTTTTCATTTTCATTTCAATTTTCAGTATTTTGTTGCGTTTTGTCATTTGAATTTTTTATATTTCTATATAGTTTTTATTCATTTTTATTTAAGTTTCCGTTATTGTAATACTTTGAGTTACTCTGAACAATAATTATAAATGTTGCCTTGGCAATTAGCTAAAATAATGTTTCAAGTAATGCAAAACAACAATCAACATCAATCACCCTGATGTGTGTTTCCACAGAAGGAGCGCTTTCTGTCAGCAGGCTGGGAAAGTGTAAACGCACTGGACATGATGACCGTCTACAGCGTGCTTCCTCGGGAAGATGTAACTAGGTACACAAGCCAACACTCAAGTACAGTTGTAATCGAGCGTATATTTATAACTGCACAACCAGTGCCAGGAAAGCTTGAGATCAGAATCTCTACAGTGACGCTCTTTGTTTTACAATCACAGAATTGAGCGTCTAGAATTTTTAGATGAAAGGGAACTTCTCCAACAGCTTCTCCAACACTACTGCATCTGCTGGGCTGTAAAAGATAAGCTCAGTCTAGGTGAGGCTTCCATTTGAACCACTTAACTGCATTCTAGAGTTTCATGGATCGTTTGACGTCACCTGTAACTAATAGTGGACCTCTCTTTTCAGGCCTCTCGCAAATTGGGTTTTAAACGTCAATAGGGACTTGGTTGTAAAAGTTTCATTTGAAACAACATCACCAAGAGTGGACAGGACGCTCTTCTTGACGCTTTTCAGAGGACAGGAAGGGGAAGTCATTTATATCTTTATTTCCATTTTTGAGCACAATAAAAATGGAGAGTACTGGCATCAGCGTCTTTTCTTCTGTTTTACTTGTCTCCTTCTGTCTCCCATGTGACCGACGTGTCTCACTAAAGTGCCATATTAATTCAGGCATGTTTTACAAATGTATAGCATAGCTGTTATCATGAAACATTCATAAGATGAACTATTTTGTTAGCTATATGAATAGTAATGGGTTTTTGTAAAAGCACTGAATATTCATGAACGGTGATGATGAATAAAGACAATTAAGAGAATAGAATGGTTAAGTGCACAATTTTATTGTTGCACTTTGATTTGAAACCATTTTACACAATCTACATTGTAAAAAAATTACAGAATTAAAATCCTAGGGTGAGAGATGCCCTTGTCAAACCACATAAATTTGTCATAAGCAGCCCTCAATTAATTTTTTTCTGATTATAATGTAGTTATTAAGTTGGTTGATAATTATAGGTATAGAATTAAAAAACAACAACAACAAAAAAACTCATACCGTGGATTTTCTTTTTGACTATATAGTAGCATTCAACACTTTGGGTCTTTTTTTTTTCATAGTACCATTCAACAGTTTTTTTTTTTTTTTTAAAGGAAATTAATACTTTTATTAAACAAGGACGCATTACATTGATCACAAGTGGCAGTAAAGACATTCATAATGTTATAAAAGATTTCTATTTTAAATACATGCTGTTATATTGAACTTTCATCAAAGAATCCTCATTGAGAATATTAAGCAGGACAATTGTTTTCAACATTGATAATAACGGAAAATGTTCCTTAAACAAAAAAATCTGCATATTAGAATGATTTCTGAATCATGTGAAATTGAAGACTGGAGTAATGGCTGCTAAAATTGAGCTTTGCCATCACAGGAATAAATGACATTTTAAAATAAAAGATTAAAATACAAAACAAAACGTTTTTAACTGGTAATAATATTTCACACTTGATCAGATAAATGCAGCTTTGGTGAGCATAAGAGACTTCTTTCAAAAACATTAAAAAATCTTACGATCCTAAACTTTTGAACTGTAAAGTAAGTGTTTTTTCAACGTCACAAATAACCACAAGGAAGCAGTTTTAGAAAACAAAAGGCGATTAAAAGACACACAAAAAAAGGAAACGTTTCCTCTTTAGCCATCAACGCCAGGCATCCTGCAGTCTTTCTCTGTATTAATTCTTGTCAGTGACTCCCTGAAGAGAAACATTAACCCAAACCGACCTTGTGCTGTTATTTACTGCCACAGGAACCCCGATTTAATGCATGAGAGTGAGAGCAAACACGGTATAAATGCAGATGATCTGCTGCAGGCCATGCTGAACTGCAGAGCGATCTATAATATGCCATTAAATTTGTAAAGTTTGGGAAACTGCATTAACTCAGATCAATTCAGTTGCATAAGACAGGTGAGCAGACCTTGAGTGACATGAGAGTTGGTTATGCACGTTTTTATTGTCCTCGGCTGTGTAATAGCAGACTGGTGGATGATAAGCTATATCCTGAAGCCGTCACCCCCCAAACAATGCTCTCCACTGCTGTAATTGTAAAGTGTTTTTCCCAAGCCACCAAGAGTGATGACGGGGGAGACTGTTGGCCCGCCTTACCACCACTCCACCCCATCCTCTGTCCACCTTTATCAGTACGAAGCCGCAGCGTGTGAGCACAGATCACCTGAAGTCTCACACAGCCAAGATGACCTCAGCCGAGTCCAAGTCAGAGCTCTTTACAGTAGCCACTGGCGATGGAGCGGATGCCCATCAGAATCAGCCGAAGAAGTTGTCCTTCTATGAGCACTACATTCAGCCTTGCCTGGCGGAGGTCCTCGGCTCCACTCTCTTCATGTTTGTGGGCTGTGTGTCGGTCATGGGCAACGTGGGCATCAGCGGGAGCATCCAGCCTGCCCTGGCACATGGACTAGCACTGGCTATAGCAATTGCCATTTTTGGAGAAATCAGGTAACTGCCTTATGTTCTGTGTGCTTGATTTAGCAAGTGACTAGACTTTGAAATAGAGAATAAAAATGAAAAATAAAATATTTAAATATTAAACAATGTTTAGAATATCTATATTAGGTTTAGTATGTTTATAATATTAAACATCTAAATTGAACAATGAATAATGCAACCAAAACTGTAAACTGAAAAACATTTATTTTGTATTTGCTTAAAATATCTGATTACTCTGCAAAAATTATATATTTTTATTTCATGATTTTATAAATAATAAAAGTATTATTAAATTATAATTTCATATTTTTATGTTTCATTAAAAAATTTAATTTATTTTTTTTATTTAAATGTAAAAGTTTTTAAATTTAAAAGTATTTCATATTTTCTTGTAGGATTTTATTCTATTTTATATTTTATTTTATAATTTTTTTTTATTATTGGAGAAAATCAAATGTAGCCATTCATTCTGAACCAAAACTGTATAATTTATGCTTGATTGCTTACATTTGATTGCCCTATCTGATCCTGTCTTCCAGTGGTGGTCACTTCAATCCAGCTGTGTCTCTGTGTGTTTACCTCATCGGAGGAATGGAACTGATGCTCCTGGTGCCATACGTGCTCTCACAAATGTTAGGTGGAGTGATTGCTGCCAGCCTCGCCAAAGTATGTGTCTAAGCTTCTCTGTTAATATTTGTGACTTGACATGGTGGAGCCTTGATGCGCAAATTACTGAAAGTTCAATCATTAACACTGACAACAAATGCACTGACGATAAAACTTTCCCTTGATTCAATGGTTTTATTATTTATCTTTTTTTTCTTTAGGCTGTCACTACAAATGAAGCATTTGCAAATGCAACGGGAGCAGCGTTTGATGCCGTTCAGACCTCTCATGGCACTGGCTCTGCGACTGTGGCAGAGATGATTATGACGCTCTTCTTGACTATGGTTGTCAGCATGGGTGCCGTGAACGGAAGGACCCGAAGTCATCTGGCTCCTTTCTGTATTGGACTCACTGTGACTGCAAATATTTTGGCTGGGTAGGAAGCTAATATTTCACGCAAAAATAAATTATATAGCCTATTGTACAGAATACTGTGCTACAGTATATTTTAAATAAGATTTAGTCTTCTGTTTTGCAGCCACAAAGAGCATTTGTGTTAAATATTAAAAGACATTAAATATAGGAATGACTGGAACCACTGTTTAACATCGTGTTTAAACATCTTTTTGAGTCTCCAACTTTGATATTATATTACTATACAGTGCATCTGCTAATGAAATGAAAAACGTTCAGAAATCTTCTACCTGAACTATGTAGATGGGTGTGAACTACAAGTTCACTACTGTAACAACTGTAAACATGGATGTTTTACATTTTGTGTGTTTTAATGTTATAATGTTAATTTAATTATTATACAGGAAACATCTGAATTCAAAACAGCTTAATAGAGTGAAAAAAGTAGAACAAATACAACACTAAATATATTTTTGTTTATAAACACATCTGTATGATTTATATTACATTGAATTATTTTATATAGAATTGTTATAATTATACAATAATTATACATACTTTAAAACTTTAAAAGGTATAAAACAATAGAAATATAAAAACAGAAAACTGTAAATATGGCTATTATGGTAAAGAGAGATAGATAGATAGATAGATAGATAGAATATTGTTGTATATCGCTGAAACTGATGGTGTTTTAACTCATTCTGTTCTCACCTAACTGTATTCATGTTTCATTCGCTTTTATAAGCAAATGTTGACAGCCTGTCAGAATCAAAACTCATTTTCTCACTTGTTTTAATGTGGAGACAGAGGTGTATTTAATGAACATGGCAACCAAAGGAACTGAAAATCACAGGATATGTTACAGGAAACAAAGACATTAAACAGCCTTAGAACAATAATGGCAATAGGAAATAATGATTCCTAACAATAAAATGTGCTAATGTGCTGTATTTGGGTCACTTTTTAAAGCCAGTCTTCCAAGCTCTCAGTTTGCAGTGATTTCACTGATTTTGTCTTGCGTGTTCAACAGGGGTGGAATATCAGGAGCATGTATGAATCCAGCACGGGCCTTCGGGCCAGCAATAGTGTCCGGTCACTGGGAGTACCACTGGATATATTGGGTTGGACCTCTGACTGGTGCTCTGGTCACTGTCAGTCTTGTGAGGTATTCCTGCTGCTCACTTTTACATTTCACAATGACTGATTTTCTTCATTTAGAAAGAGTGTGAAGTCATTGAGTGTATAAAGATAATTGACTTTGAATCTGATCGGATTGAAATAAGAATTCAAAGTTCATTTGTGTTTTATGTACATTACAGTTTTTGTGTTTGAAACTTTCAGTCCTGATATGTAATATGTAAGTATAAGTATTTGAGTATCTATAAGTGTCTGAACAATTACATTTTTCGTTCTAGGTTGGTAGTGGGAGACAAGAAGATTCGTGTTATTTTCAAGTGATGGAGAGGGGCCCTCAGAGGATCTCATGTTGTAAGCTTTTTAAAGTCAAGATAACTTGTAAAGCATTGTATGATATTGTCAAACATTTATATTAGTGTAGTATTCCTGTATTCTGATGCTTTATTGTCTCTTAAATGTATTTGTTGTTTTAGTTTTTATAGCCTGCCATAATGTATTCTGATGTTTTCTGTTAATAAACGGTCTTTTGTTAGAAATTGCCTGCATGTATTTCTTCACTTTGCATATCATAAAATGAAATAATCTTTTTAATTTTATTTTATTTTTATTCATGGACTCCCTAAATATATAACTATTTGAATGATAATATAATTAGTTTTTTGGTTTGTTTTTTAAGCATGTTAACATAAAACACCATTTTATTTTATATATATATATATGTACACCCCTCACATTTTTGTAAATATTTTATTATATCTTTTCATGTGACAACACTGAAGAAATGACACTTTGCTACAATGTAAAGTAGTGAGTGTACAGCTTGTATAACAGTGTAAATTTGCTGTCCCCTCAAAATAACTCAACACACAGCCATTAATGTCTAAACCGCTGGCCACAAAAGAGTACACCCCTAAGTGAAAATGTAATATTCTTATTCATATTATTTTTTGTTTAGAAATTAGATCATGATCTGTCTTATATATATATAAACAATTTTTTTTTTTTTTTTACCAAATCATGTTCTCTCTTCTGAGAGAAGATTTTTAGGTTTCTGTTTTTTTCTATGACCCCCTGAGCATATTAAAAGTATTTATAGTATTTGTAATACCTCCATCAACATATATATTAGGGATGCACCGATACCACTTTTTCCAGTACTCGCCCGACCAAAAATTAGACAGCCGTTAGTGTGACAATATTTACACAACTATCAGTACTTAGTCGGCCAACCCTTAGCCTTAAAGGGTTAGTTCACCCAAAAATGAAAATTAGCCCATAAATTACTCACCCTCAAGTCATCCTAGGTGTATATGACTTTCTTCTTTCAGACGAATCCAGTCGGAGTTATATTAAAAATTGTCTTTGATCTTTCAAG